AGTGAAGGGTAAGGTTTTTAACACTTAGCTATTGCTCTGACCTCTTGGGCTTTCATCTCTGCATTGGCTCTATGTTTCTTATTTAACAAGACAGTTACATCTACACCCACTGACTTCTTCAACTCTCGGGAAACACTGAGCTACCTGATAGCCTTGATGTGCTGTTCTGTATCACTAGCCATACTCTGGGATTATCGGGGTGAATGACACCTGTTTTGTTTTAGGTCAGAGTTGCATCTCTTCCCGAGTGTCTTATTCTCTCTAGAACCGATACTGAAAACAAATGCTTGCCTACATTTCTTGAGTTAGAGTTGCTTAACATCACAATATATGTGTTTTTAATGCAGGGAAAAATACATATTAAATAAAATAAATTCATTGAGTATGTTTCCTCTAAGTACAAGCTCTGTGGCACCCTTCCAAAGCTCAAGCATAAGCTACCACTTCAGAGAAGGAGTGAACAGGGACCTGACCCTGGAGCAAAGAAATGAGCTTGAAAGGCAGGTTTAAGAGAGTGGAGCTGGCATTTGCCAATGACCTTGATCATCAGCTGTGTCACGTAATCCCTCTCACACAAACACCTCCCTGCAAGTCTGTGTATATGTGTATCTTAGCATTTAGGTAGAACTAACAAAACCTCCTTCGTGGGATCCTCCAAATTGCAAGAGAAAGCGCCTACATTGTCTCTTAAGACTTAACTTGTAGGCTGGCATTTGGAATGAAAGAAACAGAAAGGCGGAAGAGTCATTGTCATGTTTCCAGGGGAAATGATGAAAAATGATGGCAGAGAAGGAGAACAAAATGTTGGTGGGTGAAGAGATACTTACCTTCCCTAATGATTTGTTTTTAAACAGTGGTGCAGCTTCATGGTTGAAGATGGACATTGGAGATGGCAGATGGTACGCAGGGTCAGGCTGGTTCCAGCTCCTACTTTGGGCACTGTAAAGTAAGAGTAATGCAAAGAGAAGACGCACTCACCAGAGATTAGCACAGAGAGGCTACCCGATGGTGTAGCATTTATATTTTGAGTTTAGAGTACTGTGGGAGTCCTTCAGACAGGTTCTAGCAGGTACCAATACACTTTAGGGATATCTTGGGGTTTCTTCTCTAACTCTGAGCCATCCAGGGCAAACTGATAAGATTAATGAACTAAGGTGGATTCCTGAAACTGCATTATGTAGTTAGTTTCTTAAATGAGTCTGGACCTTCAAAGGAATTTCTCAACCTTGTAGCACCGCAGTGATGCCCGGAGGCTAGACCAGACCATTCTCAAAGCTGGCTATGAGCTAGACTTTCACAGTGTGTTGGAAAGACACTTAATCCCAAATCAATATTGAGACCAATACAACTAACATCTCTAGGAAGCTGAGCCACAATGCCAAAATCTCTCCAGGTTAATTAAAATGTGAAGGCATGATTGAGGATAACTTTGTTATCTACAAGTTGCCATTATCCTACAGCGGCAAGCAATTTTCACACACAGGCCTCCCGCCTAAGTCAGTGGCACATAGTTTCCCATTTCTCAACACTCAAAACTATGGTATTTTAAGCATGGAGGGAAATTTCATCTATGGAAGGATGTAGTGCCCACTTATTTCTCTTTAAAGATGTTAATTGAGACAAGGGCACAAGTTCAGATATTCTATATCATCATAAAAAAAAAAAAAGGTATTGTAGTTAGCCCACACCCCTACTCTGATATTTGGGAGGAAGGGTGAATACAGGAGTTCTCAAACATGTGATCTTCTCATGCTGAACCATGAATTCTTCATGCAAGGGAAACACCACTGTACAGTGTAAGATGTTGGAATCTTTCAGGACTTTCAGTCCCTTAATGCAGGTAGCACACCCCTTGCGGATGTGACAACCAAGTCTAGACGAGAGCACATGAGAGTGTCCCAGACATTGCTTTCAAAGGGAAGAGTAGAAAGAGGCGGAGGAGGCGAACAGTAACCCTGGAGGTTAATCCATTAGAGTCAAAACTGCTGTCAGGAGAAGTAAAATTTCCAGTCGAGCCATCCTTGACAGTCACTTCCTCCTTAGAAGCCTTTCCTTCTCATCTTGACTGTCACTGGCTTTAAGGAATGCAATGGTCTGTAACCCAAGAAAAGTGAGGTGTCAAATTCGGGGTTGTTTAGTGTTCCACGTATGGCCTGGAAAGAAGACATTAAGATGTGTGGCATTACCATGAGCTTCAGGTCTTGTAATAGCACATAACCTCTTTTCTCACTCCCTTTGCACGATCTCTCTTTAAATGGCAGGCTTGTGCGTGATTAAGATCAATCCAGCTTTAGTTCAGTCTGTGATTAACCCCTTTAAAAAAGATGATTAAACTCAGTCTGTGTATACTGTACCACAAAGGTGAGTGGAATCCTGTGGTTACAGTTTCTGTGACTATGGACGATGTGAAGACTGCCTTTTCATTGCTGATGGTTCTCTATCTTGGGATGCTAAAATTTTAAATGGAAAAAATCTAATGCAATCTGTATAAAAATTACCTGGAACAGCTACAGTGTAATGCCATGTGGAAATGTGAATGTGTGGGACACACTTTAAGAAGACAGATGGTCCAAATGAAATTAAAGTCCTCAATATAATTGTAGTTGGAGAATCCATAATTTTGATTGTTAATTTAAAAATGACTCTCTGGCTTTTGAGGTTGAGAACTTGGACTTGGGAGCTAACCTCTCTGATGCTCAAACCAACTCTTCCACCTGACAGCTGTTTAAACACAGGCAGATGACTGAGATTGCTGTGGCTGATGTTGTTCACCCATGAAACATGTCTCTCTCTCATAGGGATATTGTAGATATTGAATGCCTCCCACTACCCGAAGAAACTCAAGTGAGCTCTGTAGCTGTGTAAAAATAAATAAATAAATAAAAATTAACATATCTTGGTTTTTAGCATCTCAAAGCTTTAGGAATTAAACAAATAAAAACTACATTTCCCAAGTAACCTGGAGGAATCTCTAGGCTTTTGGTAAGATTTCCAGCAGGAATGACCAAAACAGGACTGTTCAACACTATTCTTCTGTGTTAACTATATCATTTCTTATGTATTATCTACCCAGGTCCTTGATGAACTTGAGACCCATGGGTTGCTTTGCTCTCCTTTTCATGATGCTAGAGACACAGACCAGTCCAAGAGTGTTTTTAGGGAAGAGGGTGGGGAATCCATTTATCTCCAAATTTATGTAAATAAGTCCTTGTAAACATGAGTTGGGGCTTTCTAAATTCAACATGTCACCATTTGTACATGTTGGAAATCATTATTTTCAATGGCTAAACATTTCTCATTGTGCAGGTTTGTAGATTGCCACTTTAAAGAGCAATGTGTAAGTGTCTCTTTCTCACATTAGCTTAGAGTCTTGACCTAAAGCCATGGTTTCCTATTTTCTGAGGCTGGAAGTCCAAAATAAGGCACAGACAGTATTGTTTCCTCTCAAGGTCTTTTCCAGCTTCTCTCATATCTTCTCATGGACTTTCTTTCTCTGTTCACTGTTCTGGAGCCTGCCCTTCTCTCTGTAGGGACACCATTCTCATTGGATAAGAGACCTATCCTTATTACCTTAAAGGTGAGGGACCTAGCCTTATCACTTTAAAGATCCTATCTCTAAACTAATCTTGGATTAGGGCTTTAACAAACACATTTTGGAGACTTATTTCAGTGTATAACTATGATTTGGGAAAGACCATTTCTTCTGGCTTAAGACTCTTGGAAATCAGTTAAGATTAGACCTGTCTGCTCTAATTAAACCTAATCAGAAATACTTAGTGAGCATGTACTGAGAACGATAGGGCAGAACACAGAGACCTCAATCTAGTCATTGGACATGACCTAAAGAGTGGCGCACACCTTTAATCCCAGCATTTGGGAGGCAGAGGCAGTCGTATCTCTGTGAGTTCAAGGCCAACCTGATCTACACCGTGAGTTCTAGGACAGCCAGAGCTACATAGCAAAACTTCATCTTGAAAACAAGCAAACAAATAAAAACTAAAAAAGGAAAGAATGAAAATAAAGTGAAAGACTCTATGGAATGCAAAATTCCTAAGAAATGCATACCAAACTGTTGCACTGATTGTCCATTATTCAAATATGTATTTGGTTAAGGTAGTGATTAAAATTGCATGTATAGTGACATTTGATATGCATTTTAATATAACTAATTTGTAAAGGTTTCAAAATTTTACATGTATCAGCTTTTGGTACCATTAACGTTCTAATTCAAACCACAGACCAGACTTACTTACAGAAAGGCATTCAACAACTGGACAGCTCTCTTCTATACTTTTTCTTTTCTTCTTTTCTATACTTTTTGAACATTTTCATGTATGTTTTTGTTTGTCTCCAGGGAGAAAAAACCCACATGTCTTCATTATATGGGTCAAAACATCCTCTCTGTAGATCATTACCTGTACTGAGGAGGTCTTTCCTCATGTAAAACACAGTTTCTGTTAAGCAAAAATTTTTATTTAAAAAAAGAAAGAAAAACCATTAATTAAAAGAGAAATGTATGCTAAAAGAAACCAAGGAGTAGAAATTAGATTCTTGTACAAGTTCTTTCCTCCTTGCAAATATTCTTTTTCCTCCAAACCATAATTGATAGTGTCACCTTGGAAACAATCCTACAAGACTGGCTGAGTTACTGGCAGCTGTGTAGTTTAAACTTAAATTACAATAATGTGCTACCTCTCCCTATTATCACCTGCCAGTATTGCTGGTGATGACCTGCTTCACTGTCTATGACACCGGAGGTTGAACATGATGAGAAGATGCTCCAGGAAACAGAAGTTGAGAAAGGTGCCTGGGCATTTGTCAGTAGAAAGTACTATACCGACTTAGAAGATTTTGGGCCACTGGTTTCTTGGGTAATTCTACATGGTGCTGCATCCAAACGAGACAAAGTTAGCCTCATAGCCCGGCGCCATGGAATAATCCTGTTGTTCACTGTAAATATGTATTGTTCTCATTGCTTAATAAAGAGCTCACTGGCTGATGGCTGTGCAGGATTTTCCAGGCAAAGAGGACATTGGGAAGAAGAAGGATGAAGTCTGAGGAGTCTTGAGCCAGACGAAGAGGAAGCACGATGTGTAGAAAATGAGGTAATAAGCCATGAACCCCTTGATAGAACTTAGATAAGAAATATGGGTTAATTTAAGTTGTAAGAGCTAGTTAGTAACAAGCCTAAGCTATTGGCTGATCATTTATAATTAATATAAGTCTCTGTGTGGTTATTTGGGAGTGGCTGATTGGACAGAGCTGATGGTCAGTCTCAATGAAAAACTCTGCTTACAGCCCTGCAGCTGTTTCTGGGAAATTCTCTAATCTCTTGCCATGAGTTGAGCAGAGGAAATAAAATACTATTTCACGTGAGACTCTAACATTACTGCTGGCTGGTGCTTACAAACGGGGTTAAAAGAAATGTTGTTCTATTTAACAGCCCACTTACCCCCTTTCCTGCTATAATTAGAATATATAAAAGACATTGTCCTGGGATCTTGGAAATTCAAAAGTGAAATAGACTTTGCTCTCTCAAAGATTCACAATTCACCAAGGGAAAAGAAGTCTGACTTCCTTGCCAATTGCAGTGTATTATGTGAGAGGCAAACTGAGCCCCGGAAGTCCAGGCCTCTACCTCAGCCCAGTGAATGCACCAACCACGGAGCACAGGCAAAACTCTGGCGTTCCGTTGGAATGCTGAGGTGGGAAGAAGGGCAGAAGACACTCAACTACCATCTATCTGGAAATCGGTATTCACTCTACTACTAATGAAAACTTTATATTTGCCACCTAGAGGCCAGTGCTTCTAGAATGAAAGAGAATCAATTTCCTGGTCCTGTGTCAGGAAGAGATTTAAACCTATGGACCGTGACACCATTACAGTCAAAATCAAATTTCAGGAGAGAGGGGTGTGGCCCCAGGAACCTCTTCCCATCTCTGACTGGAGATAGGCCCACTGTAGGCAGCCACAGCTACTGTGGGGTTATGGCCGCGCTGGCTATGCCAAGCTCAGAAGGACGGCATTGTGTAGCCCTTCCCCAGTCTTTCGGCTCTTACATGCTTTCTGTCCCATCTCCCACATGATCACAGAGCCTTTGAAGGGTGCTACAGATACTCCCCCTAGGGCTGAGCATTGACAATCACTTATTCCAAAATTTGAGCTTTTGCTCCTAATTTAATTCAGAATAGTAGTCTGAAGATATGAATGGAACTCTAGTTCTGTCTTGGGAACACTGTGTCTCTAAAATTGAAACAGATACTAAAAATTAATTAAAAGTAGCTTTTATTGGACTTTAAACAACACAAAATTAGGATTTGAATTGCATGCAGTTTCATTTTAAGAACCATAAAAATAAAGCACATGTGATCTTGAAATCGCTCTCGGCTTCTGCCTGCAGTTATGATAAAATGCAAGAAAGAGCTAAGAATAAGCTGGGATGCTGTTGATAACTTAGTGTCATTTAGACATACAAAACTTCATGTGCTAGTGGTGCATGATTGGCACACTTAGATCAAAACATGTTTTACTGTGTCAAGAGGTTGTTTTGGAATATTACAAGAAAAAAAAAACAGTCAAGTATCTATGAACACTGAACATCTATGACTACCTAGTTACTGTTCTTCCAAGCTCACGAAGTACTTCACTTGTACTTCATTTGGTTTGATCGTTTTCTTCCTTCTTCTGTTGCTTTGTGTATTATCCGAGGGCCCCCAAACATTTTGAGAGAATGATATGTGCGATACTGACTTACAGTAACCTTGTTTTCAAAACAATCTTCCCAAATTAACACCAAGGAGCTCACACCATCGTGCTGCAGATTTGCAAAACGAAGTTCACACAAGTGGAAGTCTAGAAGAATGACAGGCAGCCCTGCCCCAGGAGGGAGAGCATGTGACTTCAAAGCCACCAACTGAGCTTTTGCTTTATCTGGGATCAAGAATCCTGTGTGGATAAAAGGCAAAGGAAGTCATTCACCTTGAACAAAAATATTTTCCTGAAATAGAGTCTTGCTATCTAAAGCTCCTTTAATTCCTTGGGTTTTGCCCTATGAAATCATTTTCCTTGAAGTTAAATCATTTCAAATCCCATAATAATAATTTGGGGGAGAGCTAGATTGCCATAGTATGGTAGAGTTCTAAGTCTAGCATTAAGAAGCTATGACCTGGTTAGGAAATCCATTCATGAAAGTGCTGTGGTTAGAGGTGATGGGGAGCCATCCTGCCAAAAGGAACTGAGAGCATCCAGGGAGACTGGCTCTCCACAGCCCTGTGCTGCTGGAAGTCTGTGGCCAGCATCTATCATACCTGGCTTTTTTTTTTTTTTTTTTTTTTTTTTTTTTGGTTTTTCCGAGACAGGGTTTCTCTTGTGTAGCTTTGCGCCTTTCCTGGAACTCACTTGGTAGCCCAGGCTGGCCTCGAACTCACAGAGATCCGCCTGCCTCTGCCTCCCGAGTGCTGGGATTAAAGGCTTGCGCCACCACCGCCCGGCTCATACCTGGCTTCTTAACTGAAGCAAGCTTTTCACATGCGCAAGCCTTGTGTTTCTGTTTGTGTGTTTGCGTTTGGAAAGGAAAGCAGAGGTGGCGGAGGAGATTGTCACAGCTGTTCTACACACCCATTTCTTAGGGGGAGAAACCCTGTGATATAATAAAGAGTGGAAGTACTCTGATGTTGATTTATGTAATCGCTCCACACTTTCTTACTACACTGACCTTTTCCCATTTTTTTTTTTTTTGCCTCAGATTCAGTAGCTCTAACAGGGATTGTGGTTTCTATGAGGAAAAAAAAAAAAGATAAAAAATTGTACATATATCTACAAATGTAAAACTTCAGAATTTCAAAATGTGATAAGATATTTTGTCACCCTGTAGGTTTGATTTGATTTATTTTAAAAGCTTCACTATTCTCTTGATAGTAGCTGACAGATCCATTCCTGTTCCCATATGCTTTCTGCTATTTTAAAAGAAACAGTACACAATTGCCTCAGAGAGGCACCATGTGTTTCCCAAGTGTGGATCTGAAAACTATCCATCTGCCCATGCTGGCATCTTCCTGAATTGTATGTGACTGAAAGAAATGTAGTCAACATTTGAGACTCTTTGGCTGGATAACGACGAGAATAAGGTGATTTCCTTCCTTCCAGTTACTGAAAATCAAATCTGTTCTTGTATCCTAGAATTCTTTGCCCATCCTGCCACCGAGATGGTCCCCAGACACCTGTCAGGACACCATCATCTCCCAGCGAAGTCCTGTGTAACCCAGTGTCTGTGTTTAGCACACAACTCTATTCATACTGGCTTGCTGATGCTTTTTTATTTGATTAGATTTCTGTTGTAAGGTTGCCTCTAAGATGGAGACAAACGACCCACAATGTGATTCATCTCAGTGATGTGTTACAGGGACTAATTCAGGGCCAGCAGAGGCGTTCTCCAGTAAGAAGACAGAGTGCTTAGTCTCAGTGGGAAGATAGAACCGGACAAGCTATTAAGACACAAAGATGATGCTGGTGAGGAGCGCAGTCAGCCATGTCTGAAGACTCATGGAGACAAAACCAAGTTTGGAAGTGCAAAGTACCGTAAATGTTGTCAGTCTTCTGTGATGTAAGTATTCAAATTAATTTTCTAGGTTGTTGCAGTCATCGTATAAATGTCTTTACAAGTTCAAAAATTTTACATTTATTTATTTGTGTATCCGTTTATATGTGTCCTGTCATGAATGTGCTAGGGCAAGCATGTACGGGTCAGAGGTCAACTTGTGGGAGCTGGTGTCGGATCCAGGCCTTTATCTCAGGCTTGGCACCAAGTGCCCTTACCCACTGAGCCGTCTTGCCGTTTTACTGGCCCCATTGTGCGTGTTCTTCTTTTGTTTGTTTTGTTTTTTGTATGGTTGTTGTTGTTTTGTTTTCTGAGTCAGGGTTTCTCTGTGTAGCAATAGCCATCCTGGAACTCGCTCTGTAGACCAGGCTGACCTCAAACTCGAAGATTCTTCTGCCTCTTGTCTCCTGAGTGCTGGGATTAAAGGTGTGCACCACCACTGCCCGGAAGTTGTGCATATTCTTATGGGAGTAATACTCACTTACAAGAGAACAGTCACTAAATTATGGGCTAGGTATAATGCTATGAACCCTCCATTTGTCATTTGTTATCTCTATATAGCTATTTATCTTTAATGCCCAGTTTTTTTGTCTTAATGAAACTTTACTTGATTAATCCTCTAAGCAAATTTTTTTTTCTTCAAAATTATTTTGGAAGTAGATAATTACAGTGAATTTATATAGCTTCAAATAGGTTACATTAACCGCTAATCAAACAGTACTACAGCTTCATGGTAAGCTGAGAGATTTAGATCCTTGCCAGAAAACATTAAGGACAGAATGACTTTGCATATCTTGGCCATGTTAAAGAACAGGAAGTTCAAGGCCATGATGACAGCAGACTGTGTGCTGAGGACCCTCTGTAGGTTTACAGATGGCTGTCTTCTCATTATGTCCTCACACGAGAGAAAGAAAACTATAATAATCATATGCATTGGACCCCACCCTTTTAACCTAACTGCCTCTTGAAAGTCCCACTTCCTAAACTATCACACTGGGGGTTGAGTTGTTTTTTTTTTTTTAATATTTAAATTTTGGAGGGAAACAAATATTCATCCCATACCAGAATACATAACTGAATTAATTGTTAAAAGAATAATTTAGTTTAGAAAAAAGAGAATAACTACATATGAGATTCTAAACAAATTGTCATAGACTTTGGCTCATGAATGAAATGACCTGTCTCTACCCGAAACAGAGATACTTTTATTGTGGCACCAATTAGAAGCCAAACTCCCAAGGAACAAGAACCACCCCTGCTTCTCTAGAGCCTCAACATGGCATCCAAGTGACTCCCTTTTCCTTTGAGGTACGCGATAACTTTTTATTAGTACCGATATTAAGCCATGGGGCTGTCTCCTGCTATCTGAACTGACTCCTGTAACGGAAATATTGTTATCTAAACCAGAACTGAGTTAAAGCACTGGCCTTTGGACTAAGGAAACTTTCAAAAACATGGATTTCAGGCACTTTTGGAGAGCTGGTGTCCCTTAGAGCCCCGTTTGCAGGAAGAAACGGACTATTCCCAAGCAGGGATGTGAGACAAGCGTGCTGTCTCAGACCCAGCGCAGGGCCAGCTCGAAAGACGTGTTGGAAGGGAGAAGAAAGAGTGGTAAAAATATCAGCTAGAAAGCAATGCCATGGAAAACAATGTTTTCCTTCCCTGCCAAAAGGACATGTTTACTTTTTAAAAGTTTTTTTTTTGTAATGTTGTATTTAAGAAATAAATTTGAAACCCACTTTATTGCCCAACAATATTTAGTGTACTTGACACTCTGTCCATTTTGGAGAAAGCTCTGCTCAGAGTTGTGTGATCCAAATTCGTGTGAGGAAAATCCTGACAGTCTTCCACTTTGTCACGCCCGGGCCGAGGGCAGATGACTCACTGTATGAATTCAAGTTAAATCGTTTAACCTTTTTCTCTTATTCAACCCATCTGGGAGGCTGAGTACACGCGCTTCACTATGGAACAGATGGTGCGCCAAAGCTAAATTTTCCCAGATTAAAAAAAGGGGAAAAATGTGTGAGAAGCTCTGAAGGAACCAAATATGGAAAAAGACCAAGGATTAAAAGGAAAAGAGCTATAAATTGGATCAGACCTTTCCCCCTGTTTTAAAAAAAAAGAAGTAATGTAATGCTTAAAAAATAAGTTGTGTGAGATGATTTGGAGACAAAGCTAGCAGAATGTTCCATAAACTCCAGATGGGCAAGGGTGGCCATGAAGGACAGCATCAATGGCGGGGAGATACTCTGCGCTGGCTCATTCACCAATACGCCTCACAAAACACAGTCATACAGAGATGGTGTTTGATTATTTACTTGATAACTCTAAAATTGAGTACTCATAACAACTATTTCTTAAGAATTTTTATGGAACCATCTAAATTGCAGCTTAATGAAATTTAACACTAGCTGACAAATAAAAAGGATTCCCAACATGTTCTAGGATGAATATAATTTCTAACCTGTCCTTGGAAAAAAAAGTGTATTCATTGCTTTAAGGAAAGAGACATCATTGCCCTTGCTAAGTTCGTATGATTTTAATCTTACTGTGCATAAAAAATGTTCTAAGTTCAAATATATTTACATCTCTCATATTTTATGGAATAAGAAATGTCCTATGGTCATAGATAAAGCAAACATTTGGATGAACCAAGTTGAACATACTAGGAAAAGCCTGAATCCTTTTATTTCCCGACTGGTTCTGATAAACTTAGGGAATGTTAGCTTAGCATTTAAAAGATGTAGTTTATGGATGAGGCTAGAATTGAAACCTGAGAAACTTACATAATAGACTTCCAGATGCCAAACATAAAAATCCATATGGGACTTTAGTCTAGGGATGGACTCCAGAGGCTCCACTTTAGTTGAGGCAACTGGCCAATGCAAACTTCCTTTGGTTAATTTTCAAAAATCGTAGTATGTATCAAAATAAAAGTATGTGTATTTTCCCCAAATAATCACTTTATTATTGAACTTGGGTCATACTCCCGATCCTAGGAAGTCCAGATGAGGCGTAGCTAAGTGGATAAGAAGCAACAAGAAGAGAGAAGCAAACACCGCTCTTCTCAAGGAGAACTTCATGTGACTATTACTCTAATTTTCTTCTGAGAAAACTGGCTAGAATTATGGCATTAATGCTAATAGCAATGAACACCCAGATAATGATCAATATCCAGTTTAACATAGTCCTTCTTCAACATGGCAAATACATTCTTGGGACTATGCCTTAGACACTGTTTTATTTCTGTGAAGAGACACCATGACCAAGGCAACTCTTACAAAAGAAAGCCCTTGACTGGGGGCTTGCTCACAGTTTCAGAGGGGCAGTAGCTGGAAACCACATCTTAATCTGTGGACAGAGAGAGCAAGCCTGTGTCTAGCATGGGCTTTTGGAATCTCAAAACCCACACCCAGTGATACACTTCCTCCAACAAAGCCACACCCCCAATCCTTGTAATCCTTTCAAAGAGTTTCACTCCCTGGTGTCTAAGCATACAAATATATGAGCCTATAGGGGCTATTCTTATTCAAACCACCACAGAATGTTTATGTAAATAAGTCTGATAGTAACTAATCAAATATCCTGACACTTCCTAACTAGTGTGTGTGTGTACACACTCATATAAACTCATATATTTTTTATATATTCAAATTATATTTTCACTGCTCACTAAATTTCACTAAAAACAAAAGCTAAACTACTGCCATGCCAAATTAAACTACTTAAAATTAATTTTTGATTAGAAGACATGGAGCTTATATATTTCAAAGGGACCCTTATCAGACAAGCCTGAATATAAGCATCCTATGGATTTTTACTCACTCCCTGGCCTGTATGTATGAGTTCCTCTGAGTAGGACTTCAGCTAAAGACTCAAAGTAAAATCTTTCTATAGGGTTCTGAAGGCAACCCCCAAATGCTCAGGACCATCTTGCTCACTACAGTGCATCAAATCCACATATATCCGTGGCTACACGATGTGACCACCAGTGGAGAGATGCTAGTTCTCTTAGATGATGCTTTTAAGCACTTCCTTCTCACTACTGTACTCTGCCTTCAGACAGTCTTTTGATCTTCATCCTGAGTATAAATTCTTTAATAATTCATGCTGAATATGCCCCCTCTTCTTTTTCCAGAGCTAAGCCTAGGGATGGCATGATACTTGGCTTCCACGTGGGTTGGGAACAATTTCCAATCCCATCACCGTATAGTCCATGATTGATGGTACGTAAGTAGTCAGCCTCACTTAAGAACAGTACATTTCCACGCACATACTCATAGCCCACAATGCAATATGAATAAAATCATCATCATAAAAACACTATCAAAATTTTACTCTTTTCATAAATCTAGTATAGAAGTGTTCTTTTTGTTGTGTTGATGAGCAACACTAAAAAAAATACTAGAATCTTATTGAGATGGTCTTACTTCCTTTCCACTCTGTACAGAAGAGCTGAAACTGAAAATGGGTATGGTAGGCACATATACTTCAAGCTTCACCTATTTCATAATCTCACAAAATGTATTTGTGTCTTAGTGATTATAAGTTTCCAAATAGGTGATAAATTGGGAAGGAAAATGAGACATTTCTGTTTGAATGAGAATTTTCTGGCTTGTCAAGGCTCAAATGTGGTATAGTGTCACTTAAAACACATTTTAGAATAAACAGCTAAAGTGTAGCTTCCTTCACACATGGCTGGTGATTCTATTAGATAAGAAAATGTGCATTTTTATAGCTTTCAGGACAATTTTAGGGAGTATGAAAAAAGATAAAGGATGTAATAATTTTTAAAATTTATCTTCTATTTTCTTAGCACTATGACAGTAGCCTTTACATCATTATCTCATTTACTCTTTCAACCCATCCTTGGTATACACTTTACTTAATTTCCTGGGTTTGTTTTGGTTAGCATGTTGAGCAATGGTCTTCATTATGTCATTTTCATATACATACATTACTGGGCTGTGCTGCATTTGGTCCACCCCCCACCACATCCTCCCTGTCCTCCTCACTGGTCCCTTCCTACCCAGATAGCATCTTTTTCTTCTTATTCATCATATGTATTCCATTAACATCTCTTTTTCCCGTGTCTCTTCAGATATCTGCCTACCTCCTCACTGTGTCCTTTCTACTTTCATGACCCCACACAGAGAGAAGTACATGCATACATATATACATAAATTTAAATCTAGATTCTCCCAAGTGTATTTTCTTTTGCTTAACCTAATGATTTCTAGTTCCATCCATTTTCTTGAAAATGTTACTATTTAATTGTTTTTAATGACTGCACAAAGTTTCCTTGTGTATCTGTGCCACATTATTCTTTGTCTGTTCATCTGTTGATGGACATCTAGGCTGGTTCCCATTTCCTGCTATTGTGAACAGTGAAGCAATGAACATGAATGTGTAAGTATCTCTGTGGCATGTTGACTCAGGGTCTTTCAGGTGTGAATCCAAGATGGTCTAGTAGGGTCCTGTGGTGATTTTATTGTTTTGCTTTTTGAGAAGCCTCAACACTGATTTCCATAGTGGCTGAAAGTGTTTACATTCCTAGCAGCAGTAAAGAAGAGGTCCTCTAGTTATCTTGGTTACAGCGTTCTGGCTGAGGTGACACAGAATCTTAAAGCAGTTTTAATTTGCATTTCCTGATGGCTGAGGAAGCTAAACACACAAGTACTTACTAGTCGTATTGTTTCTTCTTTTGAGAAATATATATTCAATTTCTTAGCCCATTTATTGATTGACGTGGAATTTTTGGTGCTTAACTATTGCAGTTCTTTATATATCTTAGATATTAATCCCCCATCTGATGTATAATTGAAAAAGTTCCCCCCAATTCTGTGGGTGCTCTCTTCCTAGTGATTATTTCCTGTGCTGTACAGAAGCTTTTTAATTTTACATAGTGCCATTTGTCAACAGGAAAATAATTTAATTAATTAATTAATTAATTCGGTTTTCAAGACAGGGTTTCCCTGTGTAGCACTGGCTGTCCTGGAACTCACTCTGTAGACCAGGCTGTCCTCAAACTCAGAGATATGTTTGCCTCTGCCTCCTCAGTTCTGGGATTAAAGACATATCGGTTTTTATGGCAGTACCAAGCTGTTTTTATTACTGTAGCTCTATAGTAGAGCTTGAAGTGAGTGATCGTGATGCCTCCAGAGGTTATTTAATTGTACAGGATTCTTTTGGCTATCCTGGGTTTTTTGTTTTTCCATATGAAGTTGAGTATTGTTCTTTCCAGGTCTGTGAAGAATTGTGTTGGGATTTTGATGGGGATTGCATTGAATCTGTAGATTGCTTTTGGTAAGATTGCCATAAATGGATGGAACTAGAAAATATCATCCTGAGTGAGGTAACCCAGACTCAGAGAGACAAACATGGTATGTACTCACTCATAAGTGGATACTAGATGTAAAGCAAAGGATAACCAGACTGCAACTCACAACTCCAGGGAGGCTACCTAGGAAACAGGACCCTAAGAAAGACACAGGGATCGCCCAATGACAGAGAAATGGATGAGATCTACATGAGCAAACTGGGGGTGAGGGGGGGGTAATGGAGGGCAAGGGTCGGGGGAAAGCAAGCTTAGGAGAGCAGGAGATCCCAGATGGATCAGGAACAGAGAGGGAGAACAAGGAAAGAGAGACCATGATAAATGAAGACCACATGGGGATAGGAAGAAGCAGAGTGCTAGAGAGGTCCCCAGCAATCCACAAAGATACCTCCACAATAGACTACTGGCAATAGTTGAGAGAGTGCCTGAGCTGATGTACTCTGGTGATTGGACGGCCGAACACCCTAACTGTCATGATAGAACTCTCATCCAATGACTGATGGAAGCAGATGCAGAGATCCATGGCCAAGCCCCAGGTGGAGCTCCAGGAGTCCAACTGGCAAGAGAGAGGAGGGATTATATAAGCAAGAGATATCGAGACCATGATGGAAAAAGCACAGGGACAAATAGCCAAAGTAGTGGAAACACATGAACTGTGAACCAATAACTGAGGAGCCCCTATGGAACTGGACCAGCCCCCCCCCCTGGTTAAATGAGACAGTTGATGAGCTTGAACTGTTTAGGAGGCCCCCAGGCAGTGGGACCGGGTCCTGTCCTTGGTGCATGAGCTGGCTTTTTGGAACCTAGGGCCTATGCTGAGACACCTTGCTCAGCCTTGATCCAGTGGGAAGGGGACTGGACCTGCCTCAACTGAATCTACCAGGCTGGGCTGATGAATCCCTAGGGGAGAACTTGCCTTGGAGGAGGTGGGAATGGGCGGCAAATTGGGGGGGAAGGTAGGGGGGGTGGGAGGAGAGAGGACAGGGGAATCTGTGGCTGATATTTAAAATTAAATTGATTATAAAATAAAATATTTTTTAAAAGACATGCATCAGCACAGCCTAGCAATAGGTAGATATTTTAAAAATGAACAAACTGGAGCACAAAAAGTTTAAACTAATATATCCAAACTCAAGTCTTTGTAAATAAGATACACAGTTCATGACTTTTCTACTGTCTTGTGTCTTTTGCAGTGAAAGTGGAAACCTAACCCAAAGCTCTGAAGACTTCGATAGCCTTCTTCCACTCCTTAAGGTTTCTCAGGGAGAGCTCAGTCCCCAGGGATGGTGCTTGGAGCTAAGAAATGTCTCCACAATCTTTTACAATTAGAATTTTTTTTCTGTGTTTCCAGAGAGGTGCTTTAACCAGCTAAGCTGCGGAGCCTGATGCAATGCTCATCATTTCATTGTATAGACATGTTCATCAGGTCATTGCATAGAAGAAAAAAGAAATAAAACATGTAGAGAGATATAATTAAGCAAAAGACTAAAGATTAAAACTTATAACTTTCATGCACTAATCTAGTTTAAATTTCCTAAGTAGGAAAATTCATTTTGTTAGACTGTATTTTCCAGTGGTCTGTGCTTTTAGATCAGTATGAATACCTCTTTCTCACTGTCCTCTATCTCAAGAATGAAGGATTATTTGGAAAGCCCTCACCCCGCCAGGGCTCTTTATCAACCAACCAATGAGAATCAGGCCACAAGGAAGATAGTCAACCACAGCCAATCTTCTGTCTGCTCTTTCCTGAATACGGCTCCAAGGACTCCAAGTCTGTTACAAATACACAGGGTGTTTTGTAGTTGCTAGGGGGCTTAAATTTTATGCTCGCTTTTTATAAAGGTAGAGGACAAAGGTCTGATCTACTCTCCGTTCATCATCAAATACTCTGGTTATTTGTGGTATAAGAACTCATATTCACTATAGAAAGTTCATTGGAGTGTCTATATGGAGTTCCAAAAATACCACTAACAATCCATCTGTTTTCACTACACATCTATGAGAATAGTTTTTAAAAAGTACTGACAGTACCAGAGTTGGTAAGGATGCAGAAAAATGTATTCCTCATAAATTATTGTTCAGAATGTAAAACAGGACAGCCATTTCAGAAGTTTGGTAGTGTCCAAGAAAAATCAAACATGCATTTAAAAACCATGACCCAGCAATCACACTTCTGGATTTTTATGCCATATATAAAAATTTATGTTCAACCAAAAGCTTGTAGATAATGTTCATAATGGTTTTATCAGAGTCCCAAACTGAAATAGCTTATTCCCAAATGCTCTTCATGAGAGAAGGATGAACACACCTTTATAATCCATACCATAAAATATTATTCAACTGTAAAGGAGAACAAGCTGCTGATATACATGAATGGATCTCAAGTTGTTGAAATAAAAGAGCAAATCCAAACCAAAATGTTTTCTATCATATTATTCTTGAACTGATAAATACAAATGGTGGAGGAAAGATCAATGGCCGCAGACTTTGAAAAAGGAAAGCAGAAGCTACAAGAGCCCCACGATGGAACCTCTTCATTTTGACAGACTAGTTCTGCATGTGTGTTAAATGCTTTCTATAAAGCTATCAATGGAGAGCAGGTTTCTTAGAGCATCTCCTAATTGGAATGAAGTGAAATTCTAAGCCAGTAGAATTACTACGCCGTTACTATTGCTGAGTATCTGATGGAGCACCATCATTTCACAGGACTTACTATGATTGCCATAAAAGGATATTAAACACTCCTTTGTAGTAATACATGGGATATATTTCAAAGTTATCTAGAAAGCTCTGCAAGGTTGGTGCTTCCCATTCACCCATAGAATGCAGGCCAGTATTGCAGCTACAAGACACCAGCGACCTCTGTAAGGCCAAAAATGCCTTTATCTGTGTACTCCTTAAGCTGAATCACTGGAGAAATACCAACCTTTCCCCCACTTTGTTTTATCTGCTTCTGCAGTAGACTTTACCACAAATCCAGTCCCAGTCTTAAGGAGATGGTAATACTGACCTTTTTATATTAAATTATCTTACTTTGAAAGTATTACATATTTTGTATCTGATAACTTATAAGCCTCAAGGAAACATTGTATCTATTGCATCTATAGGATGGTGGTACATGCTATGTACACAGAAATATCACCTTGATGAATTTTGCAGCACCCAGTAAAACCAAGATTGTTTTCACCTCCTTGGAAGAAGATGTACCCCAAAGCAACCTGAACTCTCATGACTACAGCCGTCAAAATATAGTTGGTATGTGATCTAATAAGAGGGACAACAACTTCAGAAATCAGTTCAAAGCTGTGCAACCAGCAGTATGTTGTTGTAAATCTCCCCTAATTCTTAGTTTCCTTGCTCGTGAAATGGTGTTACTGTTACTATATAATTGCCAACATTTAGATGAAAGACATATACATGCCATTGTTTTGGAATGTAATGCTTCAGCCTTTGTTAAATACAGAGAGCAAAGGTCAGCAACAGGTTTCCAGGATCTTTTAAAAAACTTCCATATTTTTGAGATCTCCTGAAGAGCTAAGGGGATGATGTTTTAGAAGCCGGCGAAGGCGGGAAGTGAGAGATGAATTAACATGATGTTTGTCAATGATAGGAAGTACTAACGCTAAAGAAATAGAAAGATTGTTGTGGGAAGTGGGTTATCACTTCAAAAGACAACAGCCGCTTCTGATCCATAAAGGGCAGTCAGGAGCGCGTCCCTGAGGAAGAGTCGACATCTGAGACAAGATGAGGTAAGGAGTATTACAGGTCCCTGGCATAGACAGCAGCAGTGGAGACAAAGGACTCCAAGTGGAAAGGGTGATAGGTGACATCTGTAGATAGACTGGCTGTAAGAAGGAACTGCTTATATGTTTGTCTGTCTGTGGGGATTATGGTCAGTATATCAATGTTTAAGTTACTTGGATGAGAAAACAGAGTGGTTTCAAGAGGGCTCATACACGCCTAAAATGACTCCATGTCAACCTCTTGAGACAGTTGAAAAATCATTTTTCTATTGCAGCCACAGTGAATTTCTGTTCACAATGGCATTAGGGAAAAATAATTATCCTCTCTTGCATTTTAACAAAAGAGTTTAAGATGACAAAATAGTTTACTCAAAATAGCAGCTGAGAGGTCTGTTATAATTCTATTGTTGCTTTCAGAGCAGATGCCATGCCACATGCAAAATGCCAAGACCACGGAGAAAATATATTTAGCTCGGTAAAAATATGTGACATTTAAGAAAGAAATGGTAGTGCCTTGATTCATTTGTTAATTAAGCCCTTCAACATTTCTATACACTGCTGTTGGAAGGTTATAGGATGTAAGGAGGATGCAGTTTTTGCCCCTGTAGGATGTATATTTTTAGATGATTATGATAAACTGTTCCTCATAATTCATAACATGTGGGAGGAAGAAAGAAAAAGGCAAATGATAAATCAAATGTATTCTTGGTCTCATTAGAGAGAGCCCCTGACATTGTCTTTAATATGACAAAGGATAATTGTGTGGGCAAGGCATAGGAGAGAAAAGTCCCTTAAATGAACAAATGCATTTGCATGGCCAAAGGTTCAAAATGGGGAGAAACACTGTAGGACTTAGGTAAACCTCGGAGGACTTTAGACAGGGGCTTTTAGGAGATGAAAGGGAGAAGTTAACTACTTGTGAAGTTCTTTTAGGATATTAAAGATGAAAAACAGAAAAATAGATGATAGTTTCAGTGCCTAAACCCTGAATCGGGACAACTAAGGTAAATACTTGAAAATTTAGAAAGTCTTGGAAAATCTGTTTATATTTAGGCATCTCATCTTTGAGCAATAAGATTAGCATATGTACCCAGCACTCTGTGAGCCAGGACCTCAGCAAATTTTAAATGACAGATGCCATCATTTCTATGTTGTAAGTTGCTTTCTAACATCTAAAATGGAAACAAAATTGACTTAGGAACACATTTTCCCTTGCTCTATTTTTAAAAAATGTAACAATGGGAGTGGGCATTTTGGGAAATAAAGAAGCACCCACTCACAGCCATAGGAAGAGCTGGTTGTAAGGTATTAAACCAAAGATACCACACCCAGAGTGGCTAGGCGCTCAGTTTAGTAATGGAAACTGGGTATGCTGTTAGGAATTAAAAGGCTTAGAGAATTTTATTTCTAACAGACAAGTTTCTTTCCTAAGACTTTTTTTTTTTTTTAAAGATTTATTTATTTATTATGTATACAGAAGAGGGCGCCAGATCTCACTACAGATGTTTGTGAGCCACCATGTGGTTGCTGGGAATTGAACTCAGGACCTTTGGAAGAGCAGTCGGTGCTCTTAACCTCTGAGCCATCTCTCCAGCCCCCATCCTAAGACTTTTAATATGAACCTTTTGTATGGTTTTAGGGAGTCATGTATGTACATTTGCCTAACGGCTGCTCATACATGATGGATAAAGAGATCCTGAAATCTGGGGTGGGGGAAGGCATAAAGACCTGATAATCACCCCTCCATTTTATAATCTCGTATTAGTTCCTTTGCTGCTCTAAAGTACCCAATGAAAGCAACTTACCAAAGGAAAGGTTTATTTTGACTTATAGTTCATGGGGCTGTCCACCATGGTGAGCCAAGTGTGACTACATGGTATAGATGATCAAGAAATAGAGAGGGGTGACTCCTGAGTTCATGTCTCTTATTCATCCAGTAACTCCAGCCCATGGAATGGTGTACACATGAGTAAGGAGGGTCTTCGCACCTCCATCAACCTAATCTAGACAATCCTTCACAGGCATGACAATGACTGGTTGCTTGGGTGATTCTGGATCCTGTCAAGTTGATGCAGCCTGCCTTAGGTAGAGCTAGAGAAATCCCACATATAAAGTCCCACATGTGAACTTGGTAAACATACTCATGCTTACTAATTTCATTCTAATGTGTGTGTGTGTGTGTGTGTGTGTGTGTGTGTGTGTGTGTGTGTGTGTGTGTGTGTAGAACAACAGCAACCCCGGTCACTGAAGCCTTTGTCACTGTGGTAGACAGCATGACTACCTGAGATGCCCATGATTTTATTCCCAGAACCTGTAGATACGTTCTGTTTTAAAGGCATTAATAGCATGAACTCAAGGAGATTGTCCAGTGGTCCCCATGAAATCATAAGGACTCTTTAAACATGGAAAAAGAGGCAGGAGATTCAGAGAAAATGACAACAGAAGCAGCTGGAGAGCGATAGTATGTGGAAAGGACTCCGCTAGCCACTGCTGCTTTTGAAGATGAATGAAGAGAGTCTGGTCAAGAAGTAAAGGCAGTTTCCCAAGGCCACAGAAAGCAAGGGGTGAACTCCTTGCTAGAGTCCCCAGGAGGAACAGTAGGAAACACTTGATTTTAAGCCCTCAGACCTATTTTGAATGTCTGATCATCATAACAGAAACATACTCCATTTGTTCTTGTTTTAAGTCACTTAGATTTTTGTATTTTTTCAAAACAGTAGCTGCAAATGAATCCTGTTTAAACACAGGAGTGTCCTAATGGCCAACTATCTGGGAAGAGAGTCAAAGAAGAGCTAAAAGGACTTAGGGGACACACCTGAGATTACAGCTTTGCTCCTTCTCATGACCGGAGCCCCTGTCTTAGATTCCAGAACCTGGGGAGACAAGCGACATGCAGTGCAGAGTGAAGATGAGGCTTTGCTTCAGACTTAGGTCCAGAAAGGAGGCAAAGAAGTAACGTGAACACAGACATCGTTCTCTCTAAGACATGATCACAGCTTGTGGAGGTTCCTACATTCACTGTGAATCTGCAGTAGAGTTGTGTTAATCATGGCGAAGTGCTGGGGATGCTGTGAATGCGTTGCTCTGATTGGTTGATAAATAAAATGCTGAGTGGCCAGCAGCCAGGCTGGAAGTATAATGTAGGCGGGATTAGGAGAGAGGAACATTCTGGAAAGTGGAAGGCTGAGTCAGGAGACACTGCCAGCCACCACCACCATAAGAAGCAAGATGTAAAGGCAGAACTGGGAAAAGGTACCAAGCCGGTTAGCTAAACATAAATAAGAATTATGGGTTAATTTAAGTGTAAGATCTAGCTAGCGAGAAGCCTGAGCCATTAGGCCAAACAGTTTAATTAATATAAGTGTCTCTGTGTTTACTTGGGTCTGAGCAGGACCAGAGAAAACTCCAGCTACAGTGAAGTCTTTGCTGTGCCATTAAGCATTAAGCAAGCTCAGTAAAGAGAGTTCAGTTGTGTTAGCCCTCTTCCTGTCAGTTAGGTATAGGTATCTGAAGACCTCAGGAGCAAGTCTTCAGAGATAACAAGTCAAACAAAGCACTGATATCATAAGAACATGGGGATGGAGGAAGGACTTGGGGGAATTCTGGGAATTTTTTATAGTCTTCCAAGAAGAGCTGAGGTTAGCATTATGGTATTCATATGGGGGTCAGCTTCAT